CAGGGCTTTAGAATATCGATACAGTATCGGGAAATGAAATATTGCGTTATTTCAGTGTATCGATATTTTCTTACACCCCTAATAGAAACAGCGTTTTAACGCGTCCTCTTATAAACACTGAAAAGTACTACGTGTATTTCCCAGTACAACTGGGATGCGGCAAAATTGAAATTTCCCACAACAAAATGCGCCGGCTTCATTTGAACCCTGTGCACCTCCACTCAGTGGTGGGATGCCATCATKTTGCAGGTAACACAATCGGRGTGCATTATGGGAGATGTAGTTTATGGTCAATGCTGGCTTTAAGCAGCTTATTTTAATACATTAATACACATTTGAAGCTCTAACTGACCACCTTTAGCCTGTGGGCCTTTAGTTTGAGACGTAACGTGACTAACTGTTCGAAATTGCAAAATGCATTGAAAGGAACTGATCCCCAAGACCCGTCTCTCTTTAATGAGCCGTAAAGCCCGTCTGTAATCAGTGGCTCTGCAGGTGTTTTTTTGAAAGACTTTCTAAGTTTTTTCTTTAGACTTCAGTTGCATTTTCCCTTGTTTTCATCCAGTCTTCATTAAACCATCACAGCATTCTACGCTGTTTGTTGAGGCCCTGTCACACTGGACAACTTATGAACATTTTATAGATGTCTACATTGAAGATGGACTTGGAAGCTTCTTTTGGACGTGTAAATAATGTAATTCAAACAAATTGATCAAATAACTTATTAGCAATTTAGACATAAAAAATGTTTTATAAGCTGGCATAAGTTGTCTAGTGTGACAGGGCCTTTAACAAATAAGTAAAAATAGACAAAGTCATGACAAAAATAAACTAAAGCAGATGAGTGGAGAACTTTTGATCAAGATCATTTCACAGGATTTTAACAAAGGCTGGTTTCTTCTCAAAGTATAAAGAATTGAAAAAGTAGTTTGGAAAGAACCCCTCTCAACTAATAACTAATAATAATAATAATACACTAATAAAGCAGCAATAACTAATAAAGATGACTCCGCTTGTTTATGTGTCACTGAGTTAGAGGTTTTTCTAGCTAAGGTGCAAGATTATGATGCTTTAAATCTGTTTGAAAATGCACTAATTGCACCAACTGCCTGTCATTTATGATACTAAARCAATTTATGAGTTTTAGATCAATAACTAACATCAGAGCATTTGTCACCTCAAACTGCAAATCTGGACTGTCAAATGTGATGATGACTTTATTGTCATTGTACGGAGCACAATGACATTACATTTAAGAACACCCATTCAAAAGACACACATGACAAAAACATGGGGGAACAGGTGATCAGGTCATACAGCAGAGGTCGTGTTACCTTTAAAAAGAAAAACTAAATACCACAGAAGGTTAGATGAGGAAAATAAAACAAACAAAAAAAAAACCTATCAACAAAAGGTGCTTATAAAAAAAGCCTCTACAAGCCAGAGCACATTTATTAGCCAGTTAATAAACTTTACAAATAAGGACAAAAGCAAACAAAGATGTAGTTTGTTGTAGAAGTTGGGGCTGATGCTGATATAAAAACACCAATTTTTAAAATTTCTGGTCATTTTAATARTTCTTATTAAATGGACATTATCATCTGATTAAAACCCATTCATTAATGATTTGTTTCCTTAACTTTCCCTTCAGGCTTTTCCACGCCGCAAAGTGAGTATTTTCTGTATAAAACACTCGTTTTTTTACCAGCTGCTAACATCAAACCTGTTTGTTTTTTTTAACGCTGCGCTTCCTCTTCCTCAGGGCCATCGAACAGGCGGGAATGATGATGAAGGTGAGTCACGGCGAGGCCTTTCTGAGCATGCCTGTAACACGCCTGTAACACACCTGTAACACGCCTGTAACACGCCTGTAACATGCATGTAACACGCCTGTAACACACCTGTAACACGCCTGTAACACGCCTGTAACATACCTGTAACACGCCTGTAACACACCTGTAACACGCCTGTAACACGCCTGTAACACACCTGTAACACGCCTGTAACACGCCTGTAACACACCTGTAACACGCCTGTAACACGCCTGTAACACACCTGTAACACACCTGTGTTTGTGCCGCGACAGG